GACAAGAAGTGGCTGCTACATTCGGATCTGACTACTGTCACGAGCTTTACGATCGCTGTGAAGAAACAGTTCCAACCTCTCAGGGACCACCTCGGCAGGCCGATCTTCCAGCTTGGACCAACACATGCCGACACAGTTAAGCAGCAGGTCCGAGGCAGTCGCTAAAAGTGAAATGCTTTTTTCTTTGTCACTGTCACAGTGACCCACCAATCAGAGCCGCTTCACCTTTTGCAAAACATGAAGGCCGGAATTGCCAGGGTTGAGTAGTGCTGCATCTCTCTCTCCAGTACCATGACAGGTCCGGCAACAGTTGAGCTATGTGTCACATGTCGCATTTCTCTCTCTTTTACATGTCGAACCAAGAATTTTGTTCGAAGGTCTGTAGCGATACTTAGTGCAACAGCATGGCACGACAGGCACCAAGGAGGAACGATTCTCGCTCACGCAGCCGCAACCGAGGGCGGCATACACAACGGCGGGATCGCAGCGCTTCCAGACAGCCTCCAACATATCGCCGTCAGGAACCCCTTGAGCTTCCGAGGACTTGGAGATCAAGCCCCACTGAGTATGACACCAATCGGGAATATGGCTTGAATTTGCCTCGTCAGGTGGTTTCCAACAAATTCACTCGTGACCTGCAAATCGATGGCATGGACATCTTTGACATTCGACTTGCTCAGGTGATGACAGGAGGCCTGACGAACTGGGGACTCAGGTCCTTAGCTAATGGTCGTCACACGGTCTGGGAATCGTTCAAGTCTCGGCAGGAAGCCATCACCGCAGGGACCTTGATGCGAGCTTTGAGAGGAGAGAACTCGACTCATTACAGTGGCGCAGATCTCAATTCCACCTTGACCCACATGACCCAAAACATGTTCCCAGGTCAAGATCCATACCTGCGGGACAACAGGTACACAGCCATTAAGGAATTGGCCGAGGAGCTCGCCAAGGTTGTGGCACAGAAAGGACCTTCAGCAGCGAATCAGTCCATGTTGCAACAGATTCAGGAGCTTCAACGAGAGAACGCCCGACTGAAGAGTGAGAAATCTCAGGGCTCCAGATCAGTCATCCCAGCCAGCCCGGCTCATACCCCGCCTCCCAAGGGGGCTCGCACCCCCAAAGGCTCGATAGCTCCAGGTCTTACCCCTCGCACCAGCCAGGGATCTCAGGCATCAGGTGGACAACCAACTCCACCATCATATCGTCGACCCAAAGATCGTCAGAGTTCAGCTGAGGCGACAGAAGGCCCGGTGCGCAGCTTGGAAGACTTCTGGAATGCTCGCCCAACCGATGCAGTACCAGAAGATTTCGAATTGGCAGAAGAACATGAGGGTAATGATGATCTCGCCACTCTCGCTGGTAGCCCCGAGTTTCGCCCCGAGGACGACGAGGAGGCCGATCCTGTTGATTCCCTTGACACAGTGCAACAGTTTGAACGAACTAATCAAGCCAGGTTCCTTGAGGAATGCAAACTTGACAATTTCAAGGTGAACACCATCAACAACTGGGTGTCTCAAAGGGTCGTCAAGGACAAGATGGCTCAGGTCCGCTTGGCAGGTTCGGAATTGGCAGCAGCCATAGAAAGACTTCCCGCGGGGAATCGTCCAGCCGTGGATGCCATTGCAGTCCAATGGGGGCTTCCAGTCAATGCTGCTGCTAAGATCAATGAGAGATCTTTGTATCAGTTGATCGCCACCTGTTATGTGTTAGGACAGGAGTGACTCACAGAAACCCCGACAGCCAGGGCCTCACGTCGCACCAGAGACTCTACCAATACCGTCTCCAGGTCTCAGGTTGTTCGCTTTCTTCAGGCTTTTTTCCGATGGTTCGCATTGCTATTGCCTGCTCTTTTTCAATTACTACCACACACCATACTTGATCG